GCACATTGTAAACCATTTCCCCTCGTCCATACAATACTTCATACTGGTCTAAGAAATATTTCATCAGACTTTCAGAGTAATTGCAGTAATGATCACACAACATGGGACTGAGCATCAGATACATAGCCACAGAGAAAGCCAAGAAATGATTGTAAAATTCATCTGGCAAGCTTCCCTCAAGTACAACATTACCTGTGTAAACCAAAAACTGGTGAAACTCTGTAGCCTTCCACCGGTTTATCTCTGACAAAGCTCTTGGTTTTCTTGCAAACTCCCTGGGAATGTGTTTGCCTATTGCAACAAGATTTGCAGAGATACATGTAACTGTACGACAGCCAATTCTGCAAGTTAGATCACCTTTTAGCCACATTAAGAGCAGTTTCCTTGTGACACCCAAGCACACCAGGTGCATGTAATCTAGCACAAACGGTGTCACCAAGCCTACATTAAGCACATTGAGCGGAGCTGACCCTTTATGATGATCTGGGTCTTGTTGAGTTTTAAACTCTTCATCACTTCGAAGTCTGGCATTTTTTTCAGGGAAAACAATACCATTAATGAACTCCCCTTCTTGTTCACAGCGCTCACATCCATGATAGGCATTATGATTTTTAATATTCTCGAGAAACGAACGAGCAGGAGCATCACATACAAAGCAAGAAATGGCCAGATGATAATTTTTGCCATCAACTGAAAATCCTTGTTCTAACTCCTTCACTTCATTAACAAAGTCATAAAGAAACTCATCAATGCACTGTGGTTTCCTTTTTCCACAAAACAGTCCAATAACAAAAGGCTCTACTTCACCATCAATTTTCCCTAGAATTGGCCAAAGCTGGTCTGAAGAACTTTTAAAAATAGGAAGGCCGTCAATATTGATTTGCACAGTCACAATGCCTCTGTTTAATGTGTATAGCCACTCCTTTTTTGTGACAAGATAAGACATGATTCCAAAATGAAAATATTCCCCTCCATTAATTTGTCGCATGCCATCTACAGCTCCTGTTTTCATTAGCGTTTGAGCACTTTTTGGCAGATTTGGAAAATAACGATTCAGTATTTTTAAAAGGGCAATCAGAGACATCTGAGTGATGCTATTGCTGACCACCCATTCTGCAAGTTCTTCTTGTAATGTTGGAATGCATTCCTCAGTTGGAATGCATTGCTCATTTTCAGCAGCCCAACATTCAGCATCATTGAATTTATCTACTAGAACACTGTGGTCATCATCGCATTCCCTCGTTACATCCTCAAAATCACTAATACAGTCTGAGAAGACATCATCTTCATCGTCATTATTTTCAGCATGATGATCCAATAAGGAATCTGACATGCAATCTGACATGGAAACATCCTGCTGCTCCTGAGTACACTGAAAACTATCTAAAATTCTTTGTGCATTACGCCGTTTTGTCCAGTAACTTAAGGCGCTGAAGCCTGACATTTTACACAATAGACTATATATATACACACACACACACACACAAATACACATACACATAACAGACATGCACACACACACATACAAACAGAGAGAGAGAGAGAAATACACATTATGTATTAATTATGTATAATTTTTGAATTTTATTTTTAGTCAGAGAAATTTAAAAAATAACACAAACAGTAACTTCAGTTTCAAAATCAAAAACCAAACCAGAAGACAAACTTCAACTCAGGAGTCTGCATGTTTAATGTGTGTTGTATTAATTCATGCAAAGTTAATTTTTTATTAACAAAAAAACAAAAATATCAAATTAAAAACAGCTAAAAATATATTAATTGAAATACACAACACCTCGTAACACAACAGGCACCTAAATTTGGAAAGTGACCTAACCAGGGCTTTACAGTGCAACATTTTTTTAATTAGAATTTGCCATTCTGTGCGAAGCTAAATACAGTGGTACCTCAGTTCTCGAACTTAATCCGTTCCGGACACCGGATCGAATCCTAAAAAGTTTGAGTTCTGATCGAATTTTTTCCATAAGAAATAATGGAAAACCAA